GATCACCACAGCCACCATCACTACCACCATAGCTCTAGCGCCCGTCTCTGGCCTGCTTGCTCTGAAAGATTTTTCTCTTCTAAACAAACGGCATCTACTATCTTCTCATGAAATAAGCAATGTGATTTCACTGAGTTACTGAAGTTCTAGCCCAAAGCAACACATCTCAGATGTTTTTGTTCCTAAGCCACATGCAGTGGGTCCCACCCACCTGACCCTGGGGTGAGGGGGCCTGGACCCTTGGCTCCGTGGACCCCAAATCTATCCACTTCTCTCTTGATCCAGCTTCTATCTTGACAGGACCAATGCACATGTATCCCTTGTCAGCTGTGTGGCCTTGAGCACATCCCCTCTGTCTTCCGGTGCTCAGTTTCTGCATGTGTAATGTGGCAGGGATGGCAGTTGGTACTTTGGGGGCTGCTGGAGTATTATATGAGGTCTCTTGGGCACTTGGTACAGGGCCTGGCTCGTGGTACCCATTGCCTAAGGTTTTTGTTCCCACTTCTCCTATTCCTCCAGCTCCCCACTTCCACCCTGGAGAGAGCTGAGGATTGATGGGAGGCATTTGGAACAAGTAGGGGTATTTAATGATATTACCGATGACCATGCTTAGGATTAATACACAAATAAAACCTACACAGTGCCCCCAAGGTGCCCAGTTGGCATTTTCTTTCCCACATTTCAAAAAGAAAGATGGAGCGAAAAGAAAGATGGATTTTAGTTTTACTTATTTTTTGACACTTGGACTGAACCCAAGGCCTCTTGTGTGCTTGGCAAGGGCTCTATCACTGAGCTGCCTCCCTGGCCTGGGGAATGGGCTTCAAGTGAATAAGGAATCTACACCTCTGAGCGGTGACAGTGATACCTGTCATCATCTGGGAACTCTGGGGACAGCATCATTGGCAGTCAGATTCTAGAAGGGAATTAACAGATCACCCAGCAAAACAAGCCCTCCCTGGTCCCAGGTACCCTGAAGTCCAGACAGGAGAGAGGACCTGCCCCAGGGCATCCCGGACCTGGCTTCCCGCGCCTGGGCGCAGTCTCCTGGGCATCTTGTGCCCTCGTCACTGTGCTCCTGGGGACCATGGCACCGTGGCCTCACTGGCTGTGTGAAATGCCTCCTCTCCGGGGTCAAGGCCCATGGTGGACCTGTCTCCCGCTCATCCAAGGACAAATAGTGCCCGTCCTTAGAGAACACACACAGGGCGGCAGGGGAACCGCTGTCCTGGCTGTTTTACCATGACACGTATGGAGAGGACAGTAAATCCCTCACCTGCCAGTCAGGCGCCCAGGGTTGGGAAATCTGAGGTGGCACAAGACCCTGCCCCTGCCATCCTGTGCAGTGTGGCTCCACACAGCTTCAGGGCCCTGGCATAGCAAGAGGGGCGTGGTCCCTCCTGGTCCCTCTGGGCCGCGGTGAGCCATGATGAAGTGGGCTGATGCAGGTGCAAATGCCAAAGCAGCCTGCAGAGGTCTGCGAGGCCTAGACCCCTTGCGTCTTTGGCCTTAGGAGTGTCAGCCCTCTCAATTATGGCCTTTTTGGGATAATAATTTAATTAAAGGTGTACTTTTTATTGAATATCCCTGATGCCTTTATTGATATTGTTAGAGTAACTGATGTAACAAGGAGGAACAATTATTTAAAGTCTCATAAAAAAAAGAAAACCCTTGTAACAGAGGGAGAGCATTACATAGCAGAGAGAGGTCCAGCTGCCTGTCGGTTCCCCAGTGTCACAATAAAAAATCTTATTTTCTCAACGTTTGCAAGTTTCTAGTTTCCTGGAACCTCTAACGCAAGAAGCAGGCTGCATTAAAATTTCTCCAGGGTTTTGTTACTGCCAGAGTTATCCAGAAACATCCACAACCAGGTACAAGGGTGCATAACAAAAGACAAATGGTACAAACCACAATGCAGCTTCTGCACAGGGCCCTGTAATTTAAAGGGACAGGAGCTTCGTGGTCCCCTGGCCCTGTTTGGAGGCCGGTGTATTTCTCCTGAGAAAGTCCAAAGCAGCCCGCTGTCCAAGGGCCTTCTCTCTGCTGCACTTAAAAATCAGTTCTACGTGCTGTGCTTAAAAGACATTATTGGGGTTTTCTAATGTAAAGGTGTTCCAAGTGGCTTGCCAAAGACTTTCTGACATCGTTCAGTTCGTAAGGGCAAGTAACTAGCCCCTTGATCAGGGCTACTTCTAGGCAAGAGATAACCATAAAGTCAAGCTATGGTAATAACATTTTATTCAAGAAAAAAGAAAGGAAAGGGGCAGGTGGGATAGAAGAACAGTCGTCGAGGGAGGGCCTTCGAGGCCTGGGAGAGTTGTAAAACTCAGAGGCTGGGAGACCCTGGGGAGGCCACTGCCTGCAGTGAATCATGTTCTTTGGGCCAGAGGGGTTCAGGGGTTTAGGCAAGGAGAGAACTGTCCCTGGAATGACAAGTGGGCCCGAAACTGAACTTAATGAGGACTCATAGCTCTTTGACACTTCATGGTGAGTTATGGACAGATAACCTCGTTCCCTTTGCACCTTCAAGTCAGAGTTTTAGAAAGGTCTTTTATTTATTTATTTATTTATTTAAAAAACGAACACCAAAAACCCCCAAGAAATGGAAACATCAGAGCTCTTTAGAACTTGTAGTGAGTGACACGCCTCCTGAAAGTTCCATTCTGAGTTAAAAAAGAAAGGAAGAAAAATGTAATTGGCTATTTCAGCTCTGAACAGTCTCTTCCTTTCCTGCCTGCCTGGGACCTCTGCCTTTCCCTCTGGTATCAATAATGCTCACCACCATAGAACTTTCTAGAAAACATGTGGGTATTAGAAACAGAAACAGGAAGTAATGTGGAGCTGCCCAAGGAAGTAAAGATGGGGGGGTGGGAGGTGGCCCAATTTAAAGACAAGCAGAACCAGGGTGCTGTGTGCCATTAATTGATTACTTAGGGTGACTCAAACAAGTGAAGGATAATGAAACACTTCAATGTGAAGATCTGTGACCTCTCAGGGCATGGTATACTTCATTTGTGTTATTAGCTCCTGGGGTCTGAAAGGGACTTGTATTTGTCTTCTTATTTATTACTTATATAGTTTGTCTTGCTGAAAAAAAAAAAAATAAAGGATGTGAAGACAAGTCCCAGGATGGCTCTGGCCAGCTCTCCTGTGAGCTGAAGTGCAGTGTCCTGTCTCCAAGGACATTAACTAACGTGCTGGGGACAGGAGATGGTGACTGAGAAGTCAGGCCCGCCTCTGTTAGGGGTGGCCTGCAGAGCCTTTTCCCAGGTTGAGGAGGGTCCTCTGAGGGGTTCTTGTGTTGGGGGACAGAGTCACCCCAACATTATTTCTGTCCTGGTCCTGCCTGCTGTCTTCTTGCCACCAAACTCACAAATTTGAAATGAGGGTGGAGTGGAGTCTGCCTGTGTGGTACCGGGCTCGTAACAGCGAGCCTTGGCTTCCAGTGCCGGGCGTCCCAGGGAGCGTTGCCGTGGCCCAAGGACAGCAGCTGCGACAGTACACACACGGAGTGTCCTGCAGGTGCTGGCACAAGCAAGCCGGAAAGCTTGATTTGAGAGAGACGCAAACTGGAGATGAAGCCCTCAGAGGAAATTCAGGGACCTCGGTCCCAAGTTGTATGCATAGGTGGTCTCCAGAGGACAGTTAATGTGGCTGTAGACTCCATGGAGTTTGCAGGCCTCTCTCACCCAAGCCCCCAGTGATTAGTGGGTGGAAAGCAAAAGCCTGATCTCCTCATGTTTGGCTTCACCAGGGAGTCTGCAGTGACTGACTTTAATAACAGCACTGAAGTCTCCCAGGTACAGGGAAGTTTGAGAAGACAGAAGGGGCTTCCCAGTAGTGGTGTCTCCTGCAGGGCCTGTTCTCCCCTTCCGGGCTGGTGCGGCTGATGACAGATGACAAGGCCTGTCTGCACCTGTCTCTCCTGTGAAGCGTTAGCAGGGCTCTGGCTGGCAGGGTGGCCGGCTTCACCCACAGGTCAACGAGGGCTGCCCGGAGAAGGTTCTGGATGAAAGGCTCAGCCTCCATTTTGTGACTACACCAATGATGGATGAAGACTGTGACGGTTTGGCTCAGGGCCACCAGTGTCCACTACAACTTGCTGCCAATGTCACCAGAGCCAGACTCTTAACAAGTCAGTGCCAGTGTCTGTTCATCCTGACGGATTTGGCGACAGTCTTTCATTCCTTGCAATTTTGGCAAAGGATTTCAAAATGCTCTGTTAGGCCGGTGTCCCTATGGAGCTGCGCCAGGGGTGTGTGGAGGCTGAATTCCACACCGACTGGGGTGTGTGTGTGAGGACACCAGGTGTGGACAGCTGTCGCACAGCAGTGGGTCTGTGCAATGCGTGAAATTTCTTATTTCTGGTTCTGCATATCTGTTTGGCTGGTTAGTGTTTTCTGCATGGTGGTGGTGCATGACACACGGCTTTCCTATAGCCAAAATCCCCAGTGTTCCAGAGGAGCCACAGTCATTTCTCTTGGGGGTGGGGGGTTCAAGACAATAGAATTTGTGTTTCCCTTTGAACCAAATATTGTCAGAAGCACTGGTTCCCAAGTGGGGAGGACGGCCCGTCCCCCCTCCCCCCTTTGCGGAACATTTGGCAGTCAGGAGACATTCTGGGTCTTCACCACTGGAGGTGGGGATGCTCTTGACATCTAGAAGGTGGAGGCAGTGCCCAGACAGCCCTCCTGGACCCCATCGTAGAATTCCTGGGGTCTAAATGTCAGCAGTGCCCTGGCCGAGTGAGGCTCCCCTGTGCCATCTCTGTTCTGTGCTTTCTGCTTTCTGTTAATAGGGTCGGGCCTTCTCGGCCCCACCATGTGGCCTGAGGCACGGAGGAGAGGACTCTGGCAGCAAAGGCAGGTGCAGAGTGGAAGTAAGGCCCAGCTCCTGTGGCCGGGCCACACGGCACGTGCCCAGCCCCCGCGCTGCAGGTGTGAGGCCCCAGAGCCCCTTCTCACGCTCTCTCTGCCTTTCTGTCCGTGTGTCTGTCTCCCCAGGTAAAGATGAGCCTTCCAGCTACATTTGCACAACATGCAAGCAGCCCTTCAACAGCGCGTGGTTCCTGCTGCAGCACGCGCAGAACACTCACGGCTTCCGCATCTACCTGGAGCCCGGGCCGGCCAGCAGCTCGCTCACGCCGCGCCTACGCTCTCTCTCTTTCTGTCCGTGTGTCTGTCTCCCCAGGTAAAGATGAGCCTTCCAGCTACATTTGCACAACATGCAAGCAGCCCTTCAACAGCGCGTGGTTCCTGCTGCAGCACGCGCAGAACACTCACGGCTTCCGCACATACCTGGAGCCCGGGCCGGCCAGCAGCTCGCTCACGCCGCGCCTCACCATCCCGCCGCCGCTCGGGCCCGAG